AATCCTATGCATACATTTTTTTCTGGGTCCTCTTTGTTTCCTTGGTGGCTTATATCTCTCCCGTAATGGCTCTCTGATCTGTTCTAGATACCCAGTAAGACAGACATGGCTTGGTTTTCATAATTATGTATGCAAATATGTATGCATAGTTGCTTATTTGGTACATGCAACTGCAACAATTCAATGTGCAAGCATGGTCCTCCTATAATGTAAAATTACATGCACAAATAGCCACATAGGCATGTAACCACCTGTTTGCAAATAAATAAGTTGTGCATACATTTGTATTTACAAGCCAATTTAAGCCCTGTAGTTCTGAAAATCAGGCCCCAAATTTTGGTAAATTACCCATTATTCTGTACAAATTTTTATGCAATCTATTTTGACTCAACCTGTTCCTTGAATAGTTTTCATTTTAGTTATTAAAAGGGACTACACAAGCTATGAAGTGACACCTACACTGTGCTTTCTTCCTTAAAGGGATATTGTCAACCTATTTAAGCCTCCCCACCCTCATTCAATTTACTTTAACATTGTTTTAATACAGAGACTGCAAAGAATGCATTTTGCTACCAACTTCAGTCACAGCGCTTGTCACACTTACAGCGCTGCAACGGTGCAGCTGTAGTGCTTAGTGAAGATGCTACCTGTGGCTTTAGCTACACTGGTGCTATACAGCGCTGCAACTTGCTGTGCTCAGGGGTGTGAAAAAACACCCCCCTGAGCGCAGCGAGTACAGCGCTGTAAAGCGCCAGTGTAATCAGGGCCTGCAGCGCTGCACGCTCGCTCGCAGCGCTGCAAGCTATTCCCCTCGGAGAGGTGGAGTACATACAGCGCTGCGACTACACTCGCGCTGCATAGCGCTGCCGCGACAGCGCTGTGAAGTCCCGAGTGTAGCCAAGCCCTGAGTTGATGGGAGAGGTTCTCCCATCAGTCTAGGTACTCCACCTCCCTGAGAAGCAGATGTAGTAGGGCCTACGCTGGGAGCTAGGTCGGTATAACTGCGTGGCTCAGGCGTGTGGGTTTTCCACACCCCTGAGCGACATAGTTATACCGGCATAAGTTTGTAGTGTAGACCAGGGTTCATCATGACCCATTACAGAAGGTTGCGCTGCAGCTGCAGGTAATTTAACACTCATTCCTAAAGCTGTGCAACTTCCTGCTGAGACTGTCCTGGAGAAGAACAAAAGGGTCCCACCTTGGTCCTTGTAGCTGTAGAAACAGCAGGATAAGATGCTTGCCAAAGGGCTGTTTGCGACTAAGAGCATGTTGCAAACGGTGCAGTTTATAAAGAAGTGTCTCTTTAAGACAACTACCCTTAAGGGCAGTTTTTTTTTTTTTAAACAAAGAAAACACATTTTTTCTGTATCTTGGGTGGACGGGTGGAGCAGATAAGACACCAAAGGGTTTTTCGGCATATTTGTTGGATGTAGATTTAGATTTTTTTTTTTTTTTTTTGTTTTGTTGTTTTTTTTTTTTTTTTTTTTTTTTTTTTTTTTTCCCGTAGTAGACTCTTTTTTTATGGGGGGGGGGGATTCCCCAGGCTCATTACAGAATTTCTCATGCTCAAGTATCGGTTGCTTCCTGGTCCCAGAACTACAACTACTGCTTTTTCCATTTCCTTTCCAAAGCACTGTGCAAACATTACTCATCACAACATCCTTGCAAATTATATTCTCCCCACTTTACAGAGGGGTTAGTGGAGGTTATACATTTGTGCCCGAGGTTATACAGAGAGTTGTCTGAGCTGGGACTAGAATTGGGGGCTACCACCCCTCTGGTTCACTAGATGAGGCTGCCATCTAGGAGGTTTGGGTAGGGAAGAAAGAAAAATCTCACTCCAGTGAGCTTAGTGGAAAGTTGGGGAATATTATCCCTCTTTGGTTCTGTGGAGAAGATTTTATGGAATTCTTGATCTTGATGCATCCTTTGATTGCGCAATCATTTTCTAGAGAAGACCAGAAGATTGTTAAATATAGGCTAGCAATCAGCAACTGTTTAAGATGGAAGCCATGTTACACATTACAATAAAGCAAAGACATTCATTCATAGCTTTCAAAGAAAAAAAGGCGTCCCTTACTTTCCTGCACACAAGACAATTGTCCATTATTTGCCGCTGATTTCACTGGGTATTTAACAGACAGGCTTAATTCTATAACAAATTGTCATGTAAATATCAACAGATCAAATGCAAAGGCTTTGCGGAAAAGCAGCAATATTGACGCTTCTCTGTGTCTGGAAATATTTGTGGCTGTTTTTTACTATAGTAAGCAACTTGTCAGAGGAGGACTTGGATGGAGATTTGCAAGTGCTGATAAAACCTTCAGGTGCTGTTAAAATTGAACTCTCTTGTGTGTGTTTTGAATATAATTTTCTGTTTTAAAGCTCCACTTTATGGCTGTTTCCCACCCTTTTAAATCTCTCCCATGATACAAATTAAACAGAATGTTTGGGGGGGGAAAAGAGGTATTGGAGAATTAAACACCTCTTAAAAATATAGAGAGTTCCTCGAGTCTGTCTTCTCCACACTAGAGAAATTACCCAGTGCTGATGATAGATCAAGTCAAGTAACCAGGGCAGCTGACTTGGTGCAGAGCAAGGTTTAACTGCAAGAATGGCTCATGGCAAACCATGTTCAGCACCATTTCAGAAGCCCTGGCTTGTCCTGGTCCATCCTTGTACTTAAACCTTGTTCAGCACCAGTTGTCAGTAGTAGGCTAATTTCCTGGTGTAGACAAGGCTAAATTTACACTAGGATAGCACCTTGAATGCAGACCGCTCTCCAAGCTTTCTCCAGAGTACACCCACCAGTGAAATGGAGGCAAATCTTACCACCGTACAACAATTCAGAGAGGAAGTGAGGAAGATTTAATGCACATCAGAAGGTTACAGGCTGTAGAAAGGAAGGCTGATCCAGTGGTTAGGATGCTAGTCTGGGATTTGGGAGACCCGAGTGGAATTCCTTGCTCTGCCACAGATTTCCTGTGTGACCTTGGGCAAGTCACTTAATCTCTCTCTGTGCCTCAGTTCTTCATCTGTAAAGTGAAGATAATAGCTCTGTCCTACCTCATGGGGTTGTTGTGCAGATAAATGTTAACAATTATGCGGTGCTCAGATACTGTAGTAATGGGGACTAAGTGCCTTCACCTCAAGGTCTGCCTTGTAAAGTGGGCAGAATTGAACCCTGAAAGTGCATTGAGATTTTCATTGGCCACAAGGAGTCAGGAGCTTGATTTTTACATCTCAGCCTGATAATGACACTTCTAGCAGCACGATTGTTCCTTTATCACCAGGCTGGGGGATTGATTCAGTGTTGTTTACTGAATTGCCAATACCTAGATTTTCCTTGGAAGCAGCCTGTCAAAGTAATGACCAGGCCTGACCTTGTTTTAACGTGGGTGATCCCATGGTGGTATGGCTACAGCCTAAGAGGATAATACTAATTTGAAAACTTAAACTATTTCTGGTTGTGTGTAATGTGTTTATAGTTCAGCATCTCAGCAGGAGTTTAAAAAGCAACCTGCTATTTGTGGCTCAGTGGTGATGTTTCTGGGGTTTCTATTTATACTCTGTTCTTGATGTCTTGTTGCATTTGATTTCTCCTCCTACTTTTAACGTTCGTCTTTAAAATACCTCATACAGAATGTCTATAACAAAGCTAGGATTTTTGAGACATAGGACTGTGCATGTCTGAGTGTGATCTGTTCATCTCGTACTTGATCCCTTTTTCAATTCAAAAAAATTCTTTTGGTACTTTGGATCAGTGTAACAGTTTTTGGCAGCACTTAATTTTGAATCCGGTGAGGCCTTGTTACTACTTTGGCTTCTAGTTAGTATCAGTAGGACGATGAGAGACTCCTTGCTTGCACCAGTTCATGGTGGCTTATTTAACTCAACCCAGTTACTGTGTATGCCTCAGTCAAGTTAATGGGGGGAGGGAAGAAGGGAATCATGTTGAATGAAATTCACCCCTGTGCAGAGACCCAGCATGTCCCACTTACACCTTCAGAATAGCCGAACGTGTAGAAATGTATATTCATTTATTATAATAGGGTTTAAGTGGGACTTTGGTGAGGCACAGGGTGAATTTCACCCCTCACGAGTCATTCCCTCAGACCCCAAAGGAATCTCGTCCTTCAGATAGAATGTTCCTGTCTTGGTGAGGGGAGTGATTACACCGTATGCGGGTCCAGCAAAACACGAACTTCTTTGATGGTTAGGGCATATAAAATGTCATATACTCCACTTAGGCATGATGGTGAGTTTTGGAAGTGTATTTTCTTGGTAAGCTGGCCTACTAATAGTTTGAAATGTTGGTTGCACTTGTGTTAATTTACCAGCATTGTTACACCAGGGAAATCCCAAACGTACCTGTAACAACTTTCCAGGGGCCCTGGGTTTCACTCGGTTTCCATGGTAAGGGAGAATATTCCAGCATCCCTCCTATTTAATGAGAAGGTACGTCTCATAATGCTCTGTTTTGAGTTAAGTGGAGCCCACTCAGTTTAAGGTGGCACAACACATTCCATACCTAGGCCTTTGTGGGCTATATTCCTGTACTGAAGGTGAGGCCACACAAATCTCTGCAGGACGTTGTTCGTCACTTGAACATTACACTTCCTCCTAGGATGATCTTGTGGTTAAGGCACTGGATTGACACTCAAGGAGATCGCTGTTCAAATCTTAGCCTTCCCATAGACTTCCTATCCTATCTGACCTTGAGCAAATCTCATAACCTCTCTGTGGGTTAGTTCCCTGTCTGCAGAATGAGAATAATACTTCTCTGCCTCACAGGGGTGGGGAAGATAAATTAGTTAATTAAATGTGATATGCTCAGCTGTTACAGTGCTGTGTTCCATGTAAAGTATGGATAAAGATAAAACATGCACACTAAGTAGTATACCCACTTCACTGACGCTCAGCAGCTAAGCATGTGAAAATGTCTTTTCATGTATTTAACTGTGGTTTCATGTAAGCATATTTTGGTTTTGGATACTCAGGGCCAGGTCATGGGGAGGCAGAGACGAGGGAATGCATCTACTACAATGCCAACTGGGAGCTGGAGAAGACCAATCAGAGTGGCGTGGAACGCTGTGAAGGAGAGAAGGACAAACGGCTCCATTGCTATGCTTCTTGGAGAAACAACTCTGGCTCCATTGAGTTGGTGAAGAAAGGCTGCTGGTTAGATGACTTCAACTGCTATGACAGGTAATAGCTACAAATTTAAATTGTATTTCAAGTGGGAAAGGCTTGCAAATTGCATTAGTGATGTCCAGAAGCAGCCCAATTCAACTGGGCCCCATTAACCTGCTTTAATTGCTTGTATATCTCTCAAAATTCTCACTTAACAACTCTTTGCTTTCAGTATGGAAGCCACAAAAGGCACTTTTTGGGGTATTTTTTACAGGAAAGCTAAGCAATTCTGGCATGCTCTGAAAAATGTGTCCTGTACCATTGAGTGAAGAGCAATATGTTCTTCCAAGAGTACTTGGCTACATAAAGGAAAACATGGAGTCATTTGGAGCTGTCTAGGAAAACACAGATCTTGGGGGATATTAGCGTTTGGGATGTTTTTGCTTTAATGATATTGTAAAGGGTTTCTTTACTCCCTGTCCCTGCTAGCTGGGTTGAGGGTAGGATTGTAGTTTGGCAGAGACTGAGGGGATGGACCATGGAAGTACAAGTGTGTTGGGGTGTGGTGCTGTCTGTAGTCAGCTGTAGGGGAGATGGGCACTGCTGTGTGAAGGGTGTGGATGCATTAAAGAACTTGGATTTTAGGAAAATATGATCAAGCCTCATAAGTTTTGGGTAACCCAATGCTGACTTATCAAAAGAGAACAATTGCAATTTTTAAAAGTTTTCCTTAGTTTCAAAGTTTGAAGGAACACTGTCCACTAGTTCTGGGCCCATTTTTAGTTTAAAAAAATGTAGCTAAAAGGTGGTATATAAGAATCATAGCACTCAGAGGTCTGGGCAAAAACTTACTGGGCCATCAAGATGATGGTCTGGTTCTACGATTTAAATGCCAAAATAGAACTAATCCTGCTTTTGCAGGAAAATAGATTATTCCCAACTGTATATTTCCTAGTTCTTTTATCCTGTCTGATTTTAAGTATTCTGAGACCTGAGGTTTCCACCACTACTTGGGAAAGACCATTCTGGAGTTTAGGTCTCATACAAAATTCTACTTGAACTTATTTCCTGTGCAACCCTATTGAAATCCTTGGGGTTAAGTCAGGGCCAAATTTGGCCCTAAATTAAAAAGTCTGTCCTATTCATTGAAGTTGTTCCTAGCTCTATCCCATTCCTCTTAGCAATTCTGCCCCACCATATAACTCAGAAGTAATTCCTCTTATTCCTTCAAATATTTGTAGCTGGCTTATTTTCCCACCACACCCATCATCTTAGTAGTTACATAGTCAAGCTCCATATTCATTTAGACATTTAGATTTTACTCTTTTCCCCCCCCCCCCACCCAATAAATCAGTCCTTTCAGACTCTTTAGTCATTGTAGTGCTGATCCTCATGAGAATGGGAACGTTTCACTACCATTTTCTATTTTCAAACAGAAGTGTTTAGCATAACCAGATTTCCTCTTATAGCATATGCTCCCAAATACAACAGCACTGTGACAGGTGCATGGTATAACACAATGCCCCCATGCTGTTATGTACTGGTTCTCAACTTCTGCCATATTATTATCCTGTATTACAACAGAAGACTGTTTCTGGGCCTTCCAACCCCTCTCATCTAGTTGTAAAGAAAGAGAGGATGGTTGCAATCTCCTAAAACCTGTTCAAATGCCCAAGATTGGATGCTGAGAACACATTAACCCTGTGGCATGAGAACCAGAAGGTACAAACTGACCAGTCTAGTTTCATGGTCCACGCTGAGTGAGATACCAGGTGTTAACAAACAACATAAATGGTGAAAACTCCATTTTGAATTTTTAGAAAGATTTTAATTAACCAAGTTAGTTTTAATTATACATTTCTTGATTGTTCAGTTTGTATTTTAATGGTGGCCTTTTAGTTCCCCCATGCATTTATGCTTTGATCCCAGGAGAAATGATAAAATGTGACAAACGTGCCTTTACAACGAATGCAACTGCATTAATGTCCTCATGGCCTTTACTGGCATTTGTGTTCAGCACACACACACGCAAGCTGCTGGGCTCCCAAGGGCAATCTTGTTGGGATGCAGTTATGTTGCTACATCATTACCTATGAGATGTCGCCTGGAAAAAGGACAGTCTACATGTTCTATCAAATTCTAGTGTCTTTTGCTTCGTAACGTAGATAATGGTTAGTGTTATATGCCAAACGGTACCTTGTTGCAACACCAAGGTTGAGATGTTAATGATGCTAAGGTCAGGACATTTAGGGTTATGGTTCCTAGAGCAATCTTAACTCTGTCCTTTAATCTCATCTTATCTGTTAGGGCATAGATGTGGTGTAAGAATCTATATAGATTCTTATGCATTCATATTTAAACCCCTTGTACTTGTGCATTGAAGTGGTGTTTCATTATGTGATCACCCAACAAATATGCCATAACATGGCACATGTGCATTTAAAGCTGTAGAAAAGGGTACAATTTAAAAATAAATCAACAGCGCACAATTCATTTATGTGCATAATCTCGCTGGAGGAGAAGTATTAAAATTCACTTGAAGAGCATGTGAATTACTATAAAATGTGCACTTACAGCTATAGAAAAAAGTGTAGTTCTCTCCCACTATATTATATTTTACGGCTTGCTAAGTAGCATGTCAAGTTGCCCAGGGTTGTGTACCTGGGCACACTCTGAACCAATTAAGGGAAATAATGAATTGCCTATGCAGAGTAGGCTGTTTTCACTCATTAACTTAATTTCTTAACTAACAGACTTTGCAAAACATGCATTCTCCACTGAAGGCTACAAATACTCAAGTCTAATGCCATTAAATTGAAATGTTTTATACTGTCTGAGTTCAGGAAAAGGTATGTGGAAATATTACACCTCTACCCCGATATAACGCCATCCTTGGGAGCCAAAAAATCTTACCGCATTATAGGTGAAACCGTGTTCTATCGAACTTGCTTTGATCTGCCGGAGCGCGCAGCCTCCCCCCTCCCCCCCGGGAGCACTGCTTTACCGCATTATATCCGAATTTGTGTTATATTGGGTCGCGTTATATCGGGGTAGAGGTGTATTTAATTTATTGAAACATCGTCACTTCGATAACTCAAATGGCTGACGTTTCTTTGAACTAAAAAATAAAATAAAATTACTTCCTGACTGAGATCTTGTATGAGAAATTCCAGCTCAAACGCTATTTTTTTTTTTTCCCATGAAGGAATAAACCACTGAAAATAGCGCCATGGATTAAAAGAGCCTTCTCCACCCTTACTTATAGCTATGTGCTGTTGTTGCCACAATTGAGGAGGCTTGGCATGGATTCACAGATAGAGTAATAATGTCGGACACGTGATTGTTTTATTACTTCCTCGGTGTGTTTGAGGGAAGGAAGTTAGGCATATAAATTTAGCTGGATTTAGGAAATCTTTTGATACAGTTCATAGAGCACAAATCTGCAATCTAAGTAACTAGATAATACACTGGAGAGGGTAAAAAACTGACAAAGAAAGCAGGTGTTTGTAAACAGTAGCAACTTGCACTGGGGTGGGAAGTGAGTAGTAGAACACTACAACAGTCATTGGAACATCTTTTGCACTGACCTGGCAGGAAAGCGGATGTATAGAAAACTGATGAAGTTTGTTTGATACCTATATGAGAATCTCTTTAAGATATACAAAATGTTGAAACAGTATGGCTAGATAACTGCAGTGCTATCTGAACCAGAGGCAACTGAGAATATTTAGAACTACAACTTACATTTGTTAAAATACAGGTACTAATGTTTAGGTGGAAATTCTTTAAAGCGAATTAGTAGTTACTTGAAGTAGGAACCTATATTAAGTACATGAATAAGACTTATTCTTTATTAGTTGCAAGTAAGATAACTAATGCAGGTAGTGGTTAGAGAGGACACACCAATAAAATGGAAATACCGTATATACTGGATCATAAGCCGGTTCGTTTATAAGCTGACCCCCCAAGATGGATAAGTAAAAATAGAAAAAATTTATAACCCGTTCATAAACTGACCCTATAATTCAGGGGTCAGCAAACTTTGGCTCCCGGGCCATCAGGATAAGCTGCTGATGGGCCGAGATGGTTTGTTTACCTCGAGCGTCCACAGGCACAGAGGTAAACCTAAGTAAACAAAGTGTCCCGGTGCACCAGCTGTTTACCCTGACGGGCCGGGACAGCAACTGGTGGGGAAATGTTGTGTGTGTGGGGGGAGCTGGGGGTCAGGGAGTAACCCCTGTGACCACCCCCCATATGACCCTAGCCCTAGCCCGGGACCCACACGCTCTCCCCATCCCATCCCTTCCCACCTTATCTGGGGAGGGCCAGGGGAAGATGTCTCTGGCCTGGCTGGAGCTGCTCCGGCGGCCGGGCGGGGCGGCTCGGCTGCAGCCTGCCAGCCCCGGAGCTGCAGCTGCTTCGGAGGCTGGGGGGAGAGCAGGGTGACGAGAAGCAGAGAGACTCTGGCCCCACCTCTTCCCTTCTGGCTGTGCTGCCTCTCGTTGCTCCCTCTGTTGGGGGGAAGGGCTGTGTCCCACCTCTCCCCCTCTATACCCATTCATAAGCCAACCCCCTTCTCTGGTGCTTCCCTTTCTTACTAAAAAAATTCGGCTTATGAACGAGTATATACGAGTTAGATACAGTAACTGCAAAGGTGGGGCTGGCTCCAGGAGGGTTTCTGGCCTCCTTCCTGTTTAAATGTAATGATTTTTATCCAGTGTTGCTGAGTTACAAGGTTTAAAGTTAGATGTGAAGAACAAAATACCAAAGTATAGTCTGGTGAGCTGAAGTGCCTGGATAATATGCCTTTAAGGGCTTTGAAATTCATGGGAATCAGAATGTTGCTAATGAATTGAAGCTGAGCAGCCTTAAAATAGGTCCCCCTTCCAAAAAAGTATTATGTTAAAAGAAGTTTCTTTATTTGCAAAGTCAAGCAGTCAAAAGTTAGGAAATGCCAGAATTTAGGTTGCCCGTGCAACATTAATTTGGTCCACTTCTGCATATTAATTACAATACAGTCTTCAATTACATGATCATGTACTGTTTCCCCCCCCCCCCCACGTGATCCCTGTCTCAGTCAGTGCACAGAACAGAGAGCGCTCAGGGAATGGAGCAGCTGTTTGGTATTTTAATGCTTATCATTCAGTTAGAGATCACAGCCTTATTTATTACACACCGTCCAAAGCCTGCAGTGAATATGGAATTTTGTTTCTTCATGGTCTTTTCTAGCTTGCTTGCCACTATGGTATGAGTGCCACACAAACATTAGTGAATTTATCTCCACTGCAAGATCAGAGAATGTTCTCCTCCCCGTTGTACAGCTGGCAAACTAAGACAAAGAGACTGCCTGAGGCCATGCGGTGAATCGGTGGCAAAGCCAGAATTAGACTCAGGGCCGCCTGACTCCCAACCTTGTACTCATTGCTCTATATCACGTTGCTTTACTGACATGTTGAGAATCCACAGCTCCCATTGGCTTTAGCTGGAGTTGAGTGCTCAGCCCTTCTGTAGATCAGCCTTCAGGTATCTCAAGTTGGGCACCCAGAAAATGGCGAACACCTAAGTAGTGGCCACCTGCCCACATTTTAATTAAAGTGACTTATTCAGTATCACATAAAAGCTCTATGACAGAGACAGGGGTAGTACCGAGTTCTCCTGTGCAGCATTCACCTGCCTTAGCCACAAGACCATCCTTTTTCTTCCTGCAATCCCCTACTTTAGTCTGTACACACCTTCTAACTGCTAGAGCAAATCAGACAAGAGTCCTCAGCCTCATTCACTACACAACAGCCCAGTTCTTTCCCTGAGCATTGTCCATCCAGTGCATTGAAGGAGGCAAAGGACCGGTGAGGAAAAAGGTGTGATTAAAGATATAGGAAGAGAGAAGGAAGTGCACACTGTCTGCCAAAAGTCCTGGAATGTTCACTCTTACCTGGGTTTAATTTACCCTTTTGTACACTCATGTACAAGGGCTGCAAACTAGAATTCTACAGCAAAGTCTCATTCTTGGTTATTCCCTTTAAAAAAAAACAACCCAGCTTTCTAGCTTGAGAGGTCTGCAGAATGCAACAGAAGGAGGAGAAAAACAGAAACTTCACTGCAGCCAAATCTTCACTTCCTAAGACAGTATAAAGCAATTCACTAATTTTTTCCCCTCTTCCCTGTTCCTCTTGCCCGTTCCTGATACAGGCAAGAATGTGTAGCCACAGAAGAGAACCCTCAAGTGTTTTTCTGCTGCTGTGAGGGGAACTATTGCAATGAGAAATTTACGCACTTACCTGAAGTAACTGGTCCAGAAGGTAAGTGACTCATTGCTGGGGGGGAGCAGAACTGTCCCTCTTAACTAACTTCCAGTATATTGAGGAGATGAGAAAGGAATGTTTATGCAGTTGTGGATATAAGTTAAAGGGCAAGTTCTCCTTTATGGAAAAGTATTAGGGTTTAAATTATATTTTTCTATAGATTTTTTAAACTATCCTATAAAATTTTAATAGAAAATATATCTCTTTTCTATAGAGTGATCTCAAGATCTCAAGGAATCTATAGAAAGCGTCTTTTTCTCTGTTGAACTGTATAGATTTTTCGGAGTAATTTCTATAGAATTTTATTACATCCTTATCAAATTTTCAATGACTTTATGAAAGTTATTAATTGTTTACATATTTTTATTACCTATTGTTATTAAAATCCCCTTCATAGCCTCATAATAATAAAATAAGCCTTTCCCTACTGATTTTTGTGTGTGTGTTTAATTTGGCAAATATTGATATTTGTCCATCCCTCATCCTTCCGTGTCTCCAGTGAAGCAACATGGCTCTATTTAGACTTCCCATTCTTTGTTCATCAGCTTTACTGATGTAATGGGGAATTAGTACTACTGTGGAGACACTACATTTGCTGATGGCTTCTGCAGTATTTTACTTTAAACTGACATCTTATTGCCATGGCTGGAAAACCTTTCTCTTTGTTAGATAATGGCAATGGTGGGGAAGGGTTTTTGCCATCCGTGCCCACGTAACATCTTTTGGGGTTAGCAGCAGGCAAGCATGTAGACTTAGAAACTCCAGCAAGCAATTTTCTACTTCACTTGGGTCCGTGGAACTTTTTTGGGGAAGTTCTAATGCGATACTTTAGAGCATGCATGGCTAGATCTTTATTAATAAATTGCTCATTACAAGAGCATGAGAGTCACACCAGCAAAGGAGTTGGGGGAGGGCAAATGCTTGTGTATGTCTGGAACTACAGCCACTAATCCCATTGCAGATATAAAAAATCCTGTTTCATTGACTGTTCTCCTCCCCTCTTACAGTAATATACGAGCCACCACCACCAACACCCTCACTACTCAACATTCTGGTTTACTCTCTGCTTCCAATTGCTGTTCTGTCAATGGCCATTCTCTTGGCCTTCTGGATGTACCGTCACCGAAAGCCCCCCTATGGGCACGTTGACATTAATGAGGTGAGTCAGAAGCCTGATACCTTGAAAACTAAAGGGCAAGAGTTGACTTTTTTTTCCTCTTTTGTAAACTTAATTTCAGTAAGTTTACCAGGTGGTTATGAAAGTACAGAAGCTGTTCAGATTGAGTATTTCAATCCTCTTAGATTGATTGTCCTTGGATGGCACATTATTAATTTAAGATGGCAGAACTTTCTCTTTGCTTTGTTAAATTGTTAAACAAATGTTGCAATACCATGCTGGAATTCATAATGGCTATCGTAGCACACGCTGTAAGAACCTAATATTTTTCTATGGGGGGAAATTAAAGTCGTATGGCCTAATTTTAGTTTGAGGTGCTGAACACCTTTTTATTCCTGCATGGCTAGACGGAGCCTATGCCAAATGAGCTTTTCAAACATGGAAGACAGATTTGGGTTGGAGGAGGCCAACTACTCTTCTACATGAAGCTACATTGTATTGTAAATAGCATCTTTCATACAAAGATTTGAGTTTATACAGCTGTTATTTTTATGGAAGCCTATTGTGCCTGATTGGATCAAAGACTTACTTGCTATTCATTAGAATGGTATGAAATATTCATAATGAAGTGCAAAACTATTTGAAATTTTAGGTGTACTTTGCTATTTTGTAACAAAACTGAAGGTGGCATTTTTTTGCAGGAGATATCATTAAAGTGTAAATGTTTTCCAAGTGAAGACAGCTTTTGCATTGAAGACATGAGAAAATTCAAGCTTTTGCCATGATTTGATGCAAAAAGTAGTTTAACATTTCATATAAACCACATTTGAGGGTGAGAAACGCCACCAAATGGCAAAGTGTTTCATGCGAAAATTCTGCAAAACAAAATGTGAATTTCATACTGCTCTGCTACTAAGTCGTAACTTACTTTGAACAGTAAATTTCAGTCAGCTAAAATACATTTTCCCCTTGCTTCACTGTTTGACTTCAGTTTGTAACCTACATCTTTATCCTTCTTTTGTTTTCTAGGATCCTGGTCCACCACCCCCTTCTCCATTGGTTGGCCTTAAGCCGTTGCAATTATTGGAGATCAAAGCTAGGGGGCGCTTTGGCTGTGTCTGGAAGGCTCAGCTGATGAATGACTATGTAGCAGTGAAAATCTTCCCCATACAGGTGAGAAAAGTTTCAAGGACCTCCATATGCCTTTCAGTATGTTTAGCTCATTAGCAAATGCCACCTGCAGCAGCTGCTGTTTCAAGCGGGGCAAACGATGCCATTTTGAAATCTACAGGGCATTTTAACTTTGGTCCGAATGTTCAGAGTTGTAGAAATTCAGGGAGGCAGCATGCAGTGTAATACCCAAAGAGTGCACAAAAGACCATGTTAATCCCAGATCTTGCATGACTGTTGCCTAGGAAAATTGAGAATCCAGACCTGAACATAAGTAATTTGCAGCTCACAAAGCCACAGTCCTAATGAAGTGAAGACTCATTGTACAGGAACATTACTGTGCTGAGACGTTGTATATTTCATTTTGAACATTCAAAACGCTAAGAATTGCAAATGGAAAAACCAAAACAATCAGATATGTCCAGTTGAAGAAAAATTATTGAAAAATCTTTGTGCTCTTCCCCTAAACCCCTCTTCTTTAATCTTCCTCTTCCTTGTGTTTTTCATCATGGTTTTATGGAAAGAAATTTCTATATTCTCTCTCCAGACCGGACATTTACACAATCCATTCTGGTTTATGATAACCTTAACAATTACAGCTAAAATATAAATCTAGGTAGTATTTGCATAGGCTTCATTCTTTTACTTGCTTTCACAGAAATTTTGGCTACATTTTTTAATCCGTGACTTTATATTGTCGGCTTTCACTTTTTTTAATGAGGCTATAGAGCTTTCTGAGGGCGATTTGGGGAGGGGTTAAGTACAGGAATGTCTTCTCTCCCTCTGGCATGTAGACCTTTTGGGAAATTGCCTAATTTTAAAGGCATCTGTACTCCTTTTTATGATGTCTGAGAATAACTTTAAGAGGAGCATCAGCAATGCATGGTGTCATGGCAGCTATTTGCTTTAAATGGAAGGTTTAATTTAGAAGTGGTCTTTGATCATGTTTCCCTCTGCTTTAGGATAAACAATCCTGGCAGAGTGAGAGAGAAATCTTCAACACCCCTGGCATGAAGCACGAAAACCTTTTGCAGTTTATCGCAGCAGAGAAGCGAGGAACAAACCTGGAGATGGAGCTATGGCTGATCACAGCTTTCCATGACAAGGTATCATATAGCCACATCTCCATTTGGGGGTTAAAGGGACTGATGCCTATTGGGGCAACTATACAGGATTTGGAATGGGTGTTTACCATTTGAACAGCCACTTCGGAATGTCATGGTCCCCTTGTAGCTATTCTAGAGCATCTCTCACTTCTCCATAGTGAGCTATGTTTCAGTTTATTGAAAGAAAAAAGGCAAACCGACCCTGGGTTTAAAGATTTCTCAGAAGAACTGTCGGCTTTAGAAAATCAGTCTGATCTGCAGGACAGGAGGAGAAGTGAAAAAGGCCAGTGTTTGCACTTGTAAGCAGTAGTAACCTTGCACCTGTGTAGGCAAACCTGAGAGAGAGCATTCAGAGCTGACAGTCAGACTGTTGCGGTCCTTACTCTGCACTTTCAGACAGGCTCTGTATTTACTTAAAACTCACAGCATATCTCTGTTTCATGGGTTGCTTTAGTTGTCAAATATAAAGAACATTTAAAATAAAACAAACATGCACAAATCCAGGTTTGAGCTGCAATGTTATCCCTGTATTTAATCCAAGGTTCATGGAGTCAATCATTTCCATAGACAGCTAATAGAATGTAAGATCTTTTCTCATTTAAGGCTTTCCCCTTCTTGTATAGCTGCTCCAGTTTTTCCTTGCGGTAGCTAGACCTGGTGGAACTAATTTTTAAAGCCATTAGGTATTTTTATTTCAGTGAGTCCGGGAAAGTGATAGTATTTCACCAACATTCTTCTCTTCTTTTTTGTTTTATTCTTTGCAAGTGGATTTTTCTGTCAAATCAAAGTTCAAACTTCTCAAGCACTCATTAAAGCCATTCTCTAAACTGATGATTTGGCACAGCTGTCGCTTACCAAGGTCTGTGATTAAGTTCTAAGAACATATGATGTCCCATTTCTCAGGGCTCTCTGACAGATTACCTGAAGGGGAATATTATCAGCTGGAATGAACTCTGCCATATTGCAGAAACGATGGCCCATGGACTGTCCTACCTACATGAAGATGTCCCCTGGTGTAAAGGGGAAGGACACAAACCTGCCATAGCACACAGGTATTGTCTTTTTGCATAACTATGGTTCTTCAGCTCGTGACCTGAAGAGCTCTGTGAAACTTAAAAGCTTGAACCTTGCACTAGCTGAAGTTGGTCCAATAAAAGGTATTACCTCACCCACCTTGTCTCTTTCTAAAATACATGCCCTTCTGGTGACAATTTTGTTGAATAGAGGAGGGAGGAGATCTTGCTTTTATGTAGTGCCTTTCATCCTAAGTATTTTGCAAAAGATAACATACGGTAATAGCCAGGTAGGTAGTCTGTGCCGCCACCACACTGCAGAGCCCCTGTAGAAGAAAGGAATGTAGGCCAAAAACATGGGGGGACAAATCCTCCACTGAAAGTGCCAGAGGCTGTTTAATGTCCAAACAGAGTAGGCAGGACCTCGATTTAGTCCTTATCCAAAGGACCTACACATTGGAATATTGCATTCAGTTCTGGTGTCCACAATTCAAGAAGGATGTTGATAAATTGGAGAAGGTTCAGAGGAGAGCTGCAAGAATGATTGAAGGATTGGAAAACAACCCTTATAACAATGGATTCAAAGAGCTCAATTTGTTTATCTTAACTTAGGGAAGGTTTTAAGGGGTACCCTTTGATCACAATCTGTAAGTACCTAAGTGGAGAATAGAAATTTGATAATGGAGGACTTTTCAGTCTAGGCAAAAGTATAACAAGATCCAGTGGCTGGAATTTGAATTTAGATAAATTCAGACTAGAAATAAGGTGGAAATTTTTAACAGCGAGGTTAATTAACTATTAGAATAGTTTATCAACTGTTGTGGTAGATTCTGCATCTCTGGCAATTTTAAAATCAAGATTGGATGTATTTTAAAAGATTTGCTCAAGTTGAAAGAGGAATTAATTCAGGGAAGTCCTGTGTTATACAGGAGGTTAGACTAGATGATCAAAACTGGCCCTTCTGGCTTTATAATCTGAATAAACTATATGGTAGTCTGTATATTCCGTATGTCTATTTGACTATGCAAGGATTTAAACCGATGCTTCCAGGGAATATAATTATTTCGAACTTGATGCTTAGTCTTATCCTCTTATCCTCCCCAGCTGAGCTTTTTGTTCAGAAGGAAAGAATAAGTGAAATATAAAATGGCTGCTGTCTATTACTCATTATTTTATAGCACTTAGCTTGCCATGAGCTGTTCAAAAGATACAAGAAGAGACAATCCCTGCCCCAAAGAGTTTACAGTACATTTTAGACATGATACAGGCTAGTGTGGCAGGGCGAATTGCTGGAGTGCAGAACAATGAGGGTTATGGCAACATTCAGATGGATACTCACTTTATACATCTGCATGTCTTGATGGTTCTGGATAGCTAGTTCTAAAATAAAAATATAACTAGTATAGTCTTGCTTGCTCCAGGCATCGCGGAATAGGTGAGTTTTCAGGAAGGATTTAAGTCAGGTGAAAGGCTATATACATGGCAGTCCCAGGACATACTCCTCCACCCACTGCCCTGCACTCTAGCTTGGGCTGAAACATGAAGTTCAATTGCAGTCGTCTGTATTTGATTTGGTGAGACTGATTTTTACATCCAAAAAGCTTAAATCTCTGTTATAAAAGTGTTTTTGGTTGAGTGACTTTGTATGCCCGCCCCCCAAAACACGAAGAGAATTCTGAGAAATGTGATCTTGTGCAAGAGCCTGCAGCTGCATTTCAGTTGCTTGTGGGGGGAACTCTGCCTCCTTGACACTTGCCCCTGTAAAATAAATGCAGTGATTTATATGTGAAATTCCTAGGGGTGGGGCAGGGAAAAAGCCATGCAAAACTCTTGAAGCTGTGGACCATGGTAATTAGTGTCACAATAGATTTAGCAAATGATGCAGGGGAGGGGAAAAGGAAGGGGGGGGGGGGGAATTCATTCCCCATGTGTAAACTTTACCATCTAAGAAGCATGTAGTTTCAGGGCAGGGGTGTATTTTACTGTCTTTCCCCTGTCTAAAAAAATAAATGTCTGAATAAATATGTTTCAAGTTGGGTGATATTTTTGAATAGCACAGGACAATGCACTGTAAAAATGCTTGAATTCTCAGTTAAGTCTGAGTGAGTTACTGCCATAAAAAGCTTCAGATAACTCCTTAACACCATTGGCCTTTGGCACAAAAGGAGGATTAATGTCGTAATTATCAGGATCCTTGCTTGTCAGTGCTATAGTGCCCTCTAGTGGAAATTTAAAGTAAGAGCATTGGTGTATAAATCAGTGGAATCTAATGCTGCCAAATATCATTTCTTCTTTGGGCTGGTCTACACTTGAGGGGAGAGGGGGGTGAATCGATCTAAGATACGCAACTTCAGCTACGAGAATAGCGTAGCTGAAGTCGACGTATCTTAGATCGATTTACGTCGGGTCCTCACGGCGAGGGATCGATGGCCGTGGCTCCCCCGTCGACTCCACTTCCGCCTCTCGCTCTGGTGGAGTTCTGGAGTCGACGGAGAGCGCGTTCAGAGATCGATTTATCACGTCTAGACGTTACTACCCACTGATCCGGCGGGTAGTGAAGACGCACCCTTTGAGTAGTGTCCCTCTGGGTGCTCTGCTTCAGGTACACACGTGCCTCTCAAGCCAGTGATTGGAGATTTTCACCTAGCAGTGTCTGTTCAGCCTGCAAATGCACTCTAAGCCTCTTAATGTCAGACACCAAAGCTATATAAGGGTGTGTAGGTGAACCGCATCAGTTCCTTTTCAACCACCTTGGCCTGAGATGGAATCTTAGAGCAGTGGTTCTCAACCAGGGCTCTGGGGCCCCCTGGGGGGCCGCGAGCAGGTTTCGGGAGGTTCACCAAGCAGGACCGGCGTTAGGCTTGCTGGGGCCCAGGGCAGAAAGGTGAAGTCGCGCTGTGCAGTGCTGAAGCCTGGGGCCCCGAGCCCTGCTATCTGAGCTGCTTTGCTTAGCTTAGCTTTAGCCCTTCTTGCCTCCCCTTAACGCCGGCTCTGGCTTTTATATGCAGAAAAGCAGTTGTTGTGGCACAGCTGGGTTGTCGAATTTTTATAGCATGGGGGGGGGGTGCAAAAAAGGGGCTGGGAACCCCTTCCTTAGGCCGAGGCACGCTCAAGGCAGACACACTTTCTCTTTTATTCCTTAGTGTTTAGATACTTAGTCTAGTAGTTGTTAGTGTAGTTAGAGTGAGTTAGTTTGTACACGTAGTGAGAAGATTGTTTTGTTCTACTCTCCTTTTTCCCCCCCAGGGAGACTTGTTTTCCTAGCAGGGCATTCTTGGCCTGCCATGCTTGAAATGCTGCCTCTTCCTGTAAGCGATGGCCACTCTTAAGGGTGTCCATTGCTTGGGGTGTCCCATGTCTCCCAGAAGTGTAACTTCTGCTTGGCCTCAACTCTAGGGCAGGGAAGAACAAGGAGCTCAAGCTGGGACTGTTCATGATAGAACGTTCTCTACATCCAGAACCAGGTCAGGAGACACCACCTCTCTCACCCCACCATATCTGTCCCTGGACAGAGCCAGTGCTACTTCTGCCTCGGGCAGACTTCCCCAAAAAGGAAGGGAAGACTTTGGAGGCTTCTGGGAAGACTCCCAAAAAGAGGAATGCGGATTCTCACTCCAAGGAATCAGCTCTAAAAAAGATGTGGTGCTCAGCCAGGCCTCCAGTCACCATACGTACTGTTGAAGCCAAGGACTCCTCCACTAGTACTGGCAGGGCTGTGAAGCGCTGGAGCTCCAAGGAAAAGAGACATGGCTCCAATAGGGCCCTGGTACCTTCTACCAGCGCACAGAGCAAGCATAGGGCGAGTTTTGCCCAGCTGTTGGTACTGATGCATCTGGCCCAGCGTTCATAGTACATACCAGTACATGAAACCAGCTTACCATTGTGCCCCTTAATCCAGCTGTTGGTACTGATGCAGTCTGTCCAGCCACTGGTACCGGTTTGTTCAGTGCCGAACACACAACAATGCCCATCTTCCGTTGCGGTGCGATTGTCAGTATTATCTGCTTCAGCAGCTGTTGCCTGAGCTACCCTGTCGGCACCGGATCCCTTCTTGGTACTGCAGGAATTCCAGCACTCTAAGGACCTTTTGGTATCAGATGAACCGGAGTCCCCGCTTCTTGTGGGTACCAAGTGCCTTTTGGCACTGAGACCCCAGTCTCTGGGCTACTGTCTTCTGGGGCTGCTGGACTCTGCACTGTTTAACAGGTGTCCCCCTCCCCCATGTGTAAGGGCACTGTTGGCCCCTTACTAAAACTTCGTAGGTTTCTTTGTTGGTTTGTTTTTTCTGGTGCCTTCTCGCCATACCAGGAGAGAGGGGAAGGGTCGAGGAGGAGATGGGATCCTGGGACTGACAGGGCCTCTGGCCAATCAGAGGGCTCTAGACCATGGCCAATGGGGAGTAGCCAGCACCCCAGGTCAGTACCATGGCCCAGCTGCCTGGTCAAATCAGGAAGCCCCCCAGCTCAAGTCCCTGCCTGCATGCATGCTGAAGGAGGGAGACAGCGAGAGCAGCCCCAGGCAGGTGAGGCTCTGTGGCTGTCAGCCAGCAGGCGAAGAGTCACGTAGGAGGCTGGAGGGGGCTGCCTGATGGCCCAGTGACACGTGTGAGAGCCAGCGAGCGGGGGCAGGAGGGTCGTGCAGGGGGCTGGAACCCACCGGGAACAAGGGGACAGACCCAGCGGGCAGGGTCCATGGAGGGGGGAACAACAGCCAGAGGGAAGGAGGGGCCTGAAGGGAGCGGCATGGGGGAGTCCCAGACACGTTGTAAGGGAGCGAGACACCCCAGCGAAGGGGAGGAAGTTGGGATAGCAGGGGGTGGAGGGATGAGCTCTGAGAGCCCAGTAACCCACCCCCTGTACTGCCCTGAGACCAGCCAGGCAGGGAGCCATGACTAGTACCGGGGGGGGGGGGGGGGGAGGAGGATCCTGGCAGCCCTTGAACCCAGGAGAAGGTAGGGTTGCCAAGTGTCCGGTTTTCCACCGGAACGTCCAGTCGAAAAGGGACCCTGGTGGCTCCAGTCAGCACTGCTAACTGGAACGTTAAAAAGTCTGATCGGCAGCACAGCAGGACTAAGGCAGGCTCCCTGCCTGCCATGGCTCCCGGAAGCAGCAGCATGTCCCCCCCGGCTCCTATGTGTAGGGGCAGCCAGGGGGCTCCGCACGCTGCCTCGGCCCCAAGTGCCAGCTCCGCAGCTCCCATTGGCCACAGGAGCTGGCGCTTGGGATGGGGGAAGTGTGCGGGACCCCCTGGCTGCCCTACGCATACGAGCCAGAGGGGGGACATGCTGCTGCTGCCGCTGCTGCCACTGCTGCTTGAGGTAAGCCCCACCCCAGAGCCCGCAGCCCTAGCCAGAGCCCCAACCCTCTGCCCCAGCCCTGATCCCTCTCCCACCCTCTGAACCCCTCGGTCCCAGCCCGGAGCACCCTCCTACACCCCAAACCCCTCATCCCCAGCCCCATACCAGAGCCCGCACCTCCAGCCAGAGCACTGGCTGTGTTGGGGAGGTCTATAATGGTGGGGTGGGGAGAAGGAAAGTTTATAGGCATTTGTGAGCCAAATGCCATTTTACCCTGGATGTGTGAGCTCTCAATGGTAGGGTGCTGACTTATTTAAAACTCACATTTTATTTGATAGGAGCAGCTAATAAAATAAAATTGTATTAATCTTTATTCATTGTTGCCAGTGGCTTCTGGGATATATATGGATGTGAATGGCACTATGGAAGAAGTATTCTTCTCTTGCTGCATTCTGTTACCTACCAGCCAGGACACTCAAATGGACCGCCCCCACATCTAAATGGGAGGAGGCTAGTAGGAAGGGATTTTCAGTGGAGGTCCCTGACTCTAGAGCTTAATCCTCCCCGCCATTCCGTGGTCTGACTGAATAGCTTGCTGACCATCAGGTCATGTTGCCAAGCCAGTGATTGGCTGTGCCTTAAAATCCTATTTCTTAGATCTGAGTGGGAGTCACCAGATGTTCAGTTGTTCAGAAAATCGGACTGTTTTTATTTAAGCACATAAATATAGATCTTCTTGTCCTACTCTTTGACAGCCGAAAGCCTGCAGCTCTTTCCGTGGAGGATTATTTTTCTTTTTGTGGGCAGCGGAGTCATTCCTTGACATTTTTGGCCACTTGGCCAGTTTGGATGTATGTTTTTAAAGTGTTTTTACCTCTTTGTATATGCGCATGGAGAATGTGATAGATGCACAATATGCCCCGAAGAGAGTGTGTGCGTGTATGTGTGTGGATTTATCTATGTATGCATCTAATCATTCACTTTTACTTTTTAAGATGGCGGAGCAGTGTATTATTGTGGTTTAGTGAGTCTGTCATAAATTAACTCCTCTGCCAAATGGAGTCGTAGTTCAGTGAGGGAGAACCAGGCAAGCACAGCTTTGCTTAAGCAATTAAGCACTCTTTAAATTTTGTTGTGAATATGCTATAACAACAAATCCTACACTGCAGAAATGTCTCCAATAACTGCTTTACTGTACAGTGGGCTAAATCACTCCCCCCACCTTAATAACCTAGCCAGAATCTCCCAAACTAGAACATGCAGCTTTGTGTGTGGCTGTGGTAAGGAAGTGTTATTTCCTTTCTCAGGAGGTTGAGACTTGGGGGTTGAGCAGCTCAACCTGCCTTTGGATGTGGCCTTATGACACCCAGAAATGCAGTAGGCCCCTCTGTCTGGTCCAGTGATTCCTCTCTTCCCAAAGTATTTTGACAGATCATTTTTAGTTTAAAACAATTGTATCTGACCTCATTAATTATGTTGTGCAGGCCAGCAGTGTCCTGCATTCAGCAAGGTCACTGAGTGAACTGAAAGAATATAGGAAAATTATAATGCGGTGCATACAGGTCATTGCCATCTGCTGTCTAAGGTTTGTATCTTAATTATATTCACAAACATCTCTTTTCTGATGAAAATGTGGAAAGGCCAGGGTGTGCGATTTTTCTTGTTAGGTCTTTTACTCACATTCTGACTATAAGACTAAGGTAAGGACGTGGCTTTGAAGGGCTTGTGGATGAAACTCTGCTCAACCCATAGTAAACCACTACAAAGGGAATTTGGACTCTGTCAATGACTAGATTTGGACTCTGTCAGTGACCTAGTACAGTCAATATCTCTAGGATAGTGCTGGTCCAGGAGCTCAAAAATTCAATATAATAGATCTCTGTCACACAAAACGATTGAAGCCTGTAGAAAGAGTGAGCTGAACTCAGCTCACATCAGCGTGTTTCCAAGGAGGCCTTGTTTTGTAAAGGGCTACTCCTTTAAGATGACAAACGATTATAAATATATAAATGTAACATTTGCTTCATAAATTAATGGGCATAATGAATACAGTAACTATTAAAAGGGTCTGGTATGTTTGTCGGTGATGGTGGGTTGCTTATAATAACAAACTAACAAGAAACTTGATTAAGCTCTCTTCTAAGTAAAAATTCCAGTCAGACTTTACAGAAACTGCTGACTTTGAATGGAGTAAGAAACCAGTTTTCCATACTTACTTTTTAAAGCCCAATGTATACAAAATGTGTGTATATAGTATGTACAAGGGAACAAGCTGTAGGTAGTCCTGGCAAAACCAACTTGTAATATAACCTCTTATCACATCTGGGTGCTCTCCCCCACCCCTCAAATGCCTCTTTGAGGGAACATTGCTGAGGATGCCAGGCAGAGGAGGGGTTTGCCCATTCGTATGAAATGCTGACTTTTGTATAGTGCATTTTGGTTGACCAGATGTCCCGATTTTATAGGGACAGTCCTGATATTTGGGGGTTTTTTTTATATGGGCTCCTATTACCCCCCGCCACCTGTCCCGATTTTTCACACTTGCTATCTGGTCACCCTAAATGCATGGGTGGTAGAAACTTTAAACATGGGAGCTTCCGTCATGTGTCTTTTTTTTTTTTTTTTTTTATATACCGCTGTGTATGTGCGGCATGTTGTGGGTGTGTGTGTATCTATAAATAATATATTATGATCCCTTTAGTTCAATCCCTGGTTTTATTTTGACATTAATTTCCCCTGTACTCCTGCTTTCTCTTTGTTTTCCTTACCCTGCTTTGATTCTTTTCTGAAATTACCCTCCCCCCGTGATTCCTTTTGCTTATTTCTCTCCTCTTCTGTTACACTGGTTCCAGTATATAGTCCAAGATAATGGCCATACCTCCTACATCCTGATTGGGTGCCAGAGGAACCCTGCTTTCTCTATGGCACCATCACTATAATCCTCTCCCTCAGGTTGGCGGAAGAGAGGCTGACAGTCACACAGTTGGCCGCTAAAGGCAGACAACTGCCAGATCATCAATGAAATGTGAGCAGTGGCCTCACGTCAGTGCAAAGGCTGGAACCTACTTCAGTGCAAAGGCTGAAATCTGCCTCCACACCACTCTGTGTAGCATGTATGAGCATCGGGCCCAGCATGGGTGTTTGCAGGCAATGCCCTAATGCCACTCCTAAAGCAGTGTGTCAGTCTGACTCTACCTTAGATTCTTTGTATCTTTGAACTGGAGTATTTTGTAAAAACGCGCACACAGAAATATATGGTGGAGGGGAAGGAAATCGGTTAAATCTGGTCAGGAGCAGTGAGGGCTCTAGTTTTATTGCTTTCATAGATTCAGGTGTGATCTCAGAGACCTAAGACAGGTGCATCTTCAGCATACTGGATTCTCACTGGGTCACGGAGCTCATCCCGAGCTTGGCAATTAAACCAGTCAAGTTTTGACATGTTTGTTTAAAAATGATGGGATTTGTGCCATACTAAATCCTTCTCAAACTTGCTTCCTGGCTGTCTGCAGGGACTTCAAGAGTAAAAATGTGTTGTTGAAGAATGACTTGACAGCAGTTCTAGCTGACTTTGGACTGGCTGTACGGTTTGAGCCTGGAAAGCCTCCAGGGGACACCCATGGACAGGTAACAATTACCTTTTAGAAATAAATGTGGGGCTTACCACATCTGCTGGGAGTGGGCAGCGTTTCCGCAGATGCAGGATATGGGGACGGTTACTGGGGGACAGGAAATTGCAGAAGGGCATTGTTTTGCTCAGCTTGGATAATTTGCAGGGGCAATAGATACAAAATGCTTTTTTAATTGCTGATTTTATATTAGCTTTAATGGTGGTTTTTGCTCAAAGAGCAGGGTATGGGATGACCCAGATTTACCTTTTATATATTTTATATTGCACACACCACCTGTTCTTCTACTTTTGCAAATTACTTATATCCCAGATACTGAATCAGGGAACAAATGAGCAGAAACACTTTCCATAAAGAATGGCATTTGATTTTAAATTTTCTGCACTACTTTCTTCCTGCCATTTTAAGGTAACTTGGCTCCACCAGTTGCTACTGCAGAGGAAGGCGACCCCTTATCCTCTCCAATAGTGCACATAGACAGTTGTGCAAGGCTGCATAACACGGAGGTGGAGACCATCCTGACCCCTGAAGGCATTCAGTTTATACCTTGCAGCATGAGATTTGATCACTGGTTTTAGCATTAAATATTGAGTCATAAATTTATTCAGGTTTTTTTTAAGTCCAGTCATTGTAGCTGCCTAGAGACCTTTAGCAGCAATAAATATCCCAAGTTGACTACACTTGGAAGCTTCAGGGGGGGCCCCCTCCACCCATGGCGGCTGGGAGCTGCAGAGTGACCATATTTCCCAAAGAGAAAACAGGACACTCCCAGACGCTTGCCCAAGGCACCCTCCTCCCCTGCGTGAGGCTATTACTTGTCGCTGGACCCAGAGGAGGGCCCCTTCAGGAGGCTGTCACCTGTCACTGGAACCTTGCAGGGGGCCCCATGAGGAGGCTGTTGCCGGTAGCTGGAACCCTCTCAAGGCCCCCCTGGCTCCCAGCTTCAGTCCCTCAGCCCGGGGGCTGAAGGAGAGAATGTTCTGTGACCTCCATGACATAAACGTAGCCTATTCCTAACATCTCTGTAAATCCAGCCACAGCTCTGACCATTTTGGTCACCTCTCTCTAGACCTTTAACTGCTTCTACATCTTCTCGTGCTTAGGGTTTGTCCCACAGTCAGGCCCTTGCAAGATGAGAAGTTTATGATGGGGAATTCCCTAAGGGGAAAATTATTAAAAAGAAAATTAACTTCTGCATCGAACAGGTGATTTCCCCCTTCCACTCCAGACCCCTTCTTTCCCTACTCCTCATCATGGCTTGGTATTCCACCACATGTGTTTGTAGAACCTCTATAAAGATCTCTTGTACTAAAAGTAACAACATTTTTAACAGACGGAGATTGAGCTACTCTCTCAAGGTTAGAGGTGGTCTCCAGAACATGGTTGAAGCGGATTGGCAGGACAGTGTGGTGTCCACGTTACACCTGTCCTCTGGATAAATGAGACTTGTATCCAGGGCTGTCAAACCTCTATTCACCAAACCTTTCACCAGCTCAACATTCCTTTTTAAATTTATAAAGGGAGCATTAAGCCATCAATTATGATCCAATAACTGAGAGTCTGACTTGAACTTAAGGTGTTTGGAGTGTCTCCAAAAATTAACTTGTTTTTACATATAGCAGGTGCTGCAGTAGCTAGAGGCAATGGGGTAGATGGATGACAGAATTTCAGACATAGTCATCTTACCTCATTGCATTTAATTCAAACCCTTAGTGTCCACTGAATGATCAACATATACATATCCACACACTTGGAGTCTTTTTACAACTGTTTCATGGAGCTTGAAATGGTTTTAATGAGGAGTGATGCCAGAAAGAGTGGACCCATTTTGTTTGGAGCCAGTACACAGCCATCTTAGCAGAGAAGTAGCTTTGAGGTTGATGGAACAGCTGTAGTCCCTACACACCCAACTATCTCTTATAACTTAAGTTGCATTTTTTCTTTTGGTGTGTAGGTGGGAACAAGGAGGTACATGGCTCCTGAGGTGTTAGAGGGGGCAATCAACTTCCAGCGAGATGCCTTCCTGAGAATAGACATGTATGCAATGGGACTAGTATTGTGGGAGTTAATCTCCAGGTGCACAGCAGCTGATGGTAAGTGTAAAGCTCCGCAGCTCAGCTTCAGCAGGGGTATGCGGTCCAGAGAATGGGGGTGTCTTCATAAAATCAATGGCATGTTCTTCTCATTAAGATACTAATCTGGATTTTCCAATAAACTGTCATTCCCTCTAAACAGTGGACTTCATAGAGTTAAGGTCCAAAGTGCGTTTAACAGGGTGCAGATTATATTGCATAATGCCTGGGAACCCAATAAAAAATTTGGCGAATGAGATGAGAGAGAAAATAGTTCCACAGTTGACAGTGGGCCTATTTTAAAGTATTAAATGCACCCTGTGCACTGTCTCGCCAATGAAGGCGGTCTCGTTTGTTGTCAGACCTGTTCATTTTCACTTGTTCCCTAAGCAAGTTTTGAACCTATGTGAAAGGGTAATACATCAGCTCTTTCTTCCCTTCTCTGAGATGTAGTATAGGGGAGAGTGCAGTCTACGCTGTAAGAACAGGCGGGAGGGATAGCTCAGTGGTTTGAGCATTGGCCTGCTAACCCCAGGGTTGTGAGTTCAATCCTTGAAGGGGCCACTTAGGGATCTGGGGCAAAATCAGTACTTGGTCCTGCTAGTGAAGGCAGGGGGCTGGACTCGATGACCTTTCAAGGTCCCTTCCAGTTCTAGGAGATAGGATAATTTAATTTAAAAATTTATTTAAAATTTATTTAAAAAACAAAAACCTAAGCACTTGAGTTAGGGCAATCAAAGCCTTAGCCACAAGAGTTTGCTTTCCCCACATCGCCTGACTTTCTCAATGTTCCTTCATCAAAACAGTGCTTGAAAAATGGGGCAGCCTCTAGTCTGTCAGCAAGAAGTGTCATGTGGAAATAGAGCATCTGCTAATCGGTGACAGTCTTGCCATGTGCAGAAGATTGCCTGCAGATGTTAGGACTGAGGGGAGGCAGAAATATTCATTTCATTTCTGTCAACTCCACGACTACCTGTTCAGACCCCTCACTTTTTGTATGGAACAGACATCCAGTCCTCAACGTGCTGTTTCCCTTGGGTTTCAAATATTATTGTTTGTTTGCATTACAGTAGCATCTAGAGACTCAAATCAAATTGGGACCCCTGTACCTACATATGGTAAGAAATGAGTCTCTTCCCCAGAGAGTTTACTGTCTTAGGCTAGGTCTACACTACAGCGGGGGGTCGACCTAAGATACGCAACTTCAGCTACGTGAATAGCGTAGCTGAAGTGGCGTATTTTAGGTCGGCTTACCTGGCTGTGAGGACGGCGGCAAGTCGACCGCAGCTGCTCCGCCGTCGACTCCGCTACCGCCTCTTGCCGCGGTGGATTTCCGGAGTAGACGGTAGAGCCATCAGGGATCGATTTTATCGCGTCTTCACTAGACGCGGTAAGTCGATCCCCGATAGACCGATTGCTACCCACCGGATCAGCGAGTAGTGAAGACGTACGTCATGTCTAGTTAGGGCACAAGGGGAAACAGTGACCCAGAGATAAAGTGACTTGCCCAAGGCCATGCAGCAGGTCTGTGACAGAGCTGGGAATATAACGCAGGTCTCCTATGGTTCAGTCTGGTTCAAAACATCCGTTTGGATCTCCCCCATCTCCCTTTATTAAATACAACTTCAAAAGTTCAGTTCCCATGAAAGTCAATGGAAAGACTTCCTTTGACTTCAGTCGGAGTTGGATTGAACCCAAAGTGCAGTTCTCCTGTCTGTGCATGTGTAACTGGCACAGTAAACATGTAGGCATGTCAAGTATCAGAGGGGTAGCCGTGTTAGTCTGAATCTGTAAAAATCAACAGAGGGTCCTGTGGCACCTTTAAGACTAACAGAAGTATTGGGAGCATAAGCTTTCGTGGGTAAGAACCTCACTTCTTCAGATGTAGGCATGTGTGGCCCTCCCTTGCTGTCAGTCTCCAAGGGAGGCCATGCCTCTTGGCTGTCACGCTCCTGGAATAAGTCTTAGACAAGGGGGACGTTAGTAGTCTGGGGGCTCAATCCCTTCAGCGGGGTCGAGCAGTGAGTGGTCCAGGGGCCCAAGCCCTGAGACAGGGCAGGACACCAACAGTCTAAAGCCCAACCCTCAGGCAGGATAGAGCCAGGTATAGTCTGGAACCCCAGGCCCTCAGACAGGGCAGGGTACCAAGCACAGTCCAGGGCTCCAGGCCTCAGGCCGGACAGAGCAGGGAATAATCCGGGGACCCCAGCTCTCAAGCAGAGCGGAGTACCAGCAGTCTAGGGCTCCAGCCCTCAGGCAGGGGTGAGCACCCAACACAGTCTAGGGGGCTCAGGCAGATGGTAGACTCCCACAGGCCTTCTGGTTGAAGGCGGGGTGACTGCCACCCCAGGGATGGCAGTGGGTAGGGGAACACGGGCCCACCTGACTCCACTGCGTCCCAGCCCAGGGCCCTAACAGTGGCAGAGTGGTCTGCCACTGGGTCAGCGAGGATCCAGCTGCAACATACTGAACTGGGCTCAGGCAGCAACCCAGCCAGACCATAGTCAGCTGTCCATGGGCCACTTCCTACCCTTCCCTCGGGGTGTACCTGGATCTCTGGGTTGTCCTCTGTCTCCCCTGGGTACACTGCAAACAGTAATCCTAGCCGCTCCTCGGCATCGGGCATGTCTGGTAGCTCAGGCAGTTAGGATGAGTCCTTGGGGCAGCAGAAGTCCTCAGCAGGGTGGAAGCATCTGTCTCCCTCAGTGGCTTCCCCTCAACTGAGCTACAGGGCCTGCCTTATATACTTCCTGTTCCTGTCCTGTCCCTCTGCTTCTGGCAGGGTGGGCATGGCTTTCCTGGTTCCGCCCACCAGAGGGCGTCTGGACCTCCCCCATTGTCAATTTCTGAGGGAGGTCACGCCTCTCTGCTACAGGCACCTTCTGACTCAATGGATCTGCTCCATGCATTTATTCAGAGCCGTGTCTGCTGGCTTCAGTGCCGAATGTTTAGTCTTGTTGGTCATGCAGAGCCCATACAGCGCTGGGAAATGGAGCTGAATGGCACTTCAGCAGTGACTTCAGACTAAATGTCAGTTGCAAGACATTGAGTATGCACAAGTGTAACTAAGGGCACATTTGGCCTGCAGAACCTTCTATTGTTGGAGGTGTGTGCACCAAAAAGAACCCTGCTCAACTCAAGACTCCAGGTTGAGTTTATAAGGCTGGCAGTTAGTGTGTCTATGAGGAACATGTTATTACTTGTAAAAATGAGCATATTTGATTTGGAAATAATTGGAGGCTAATAAACAATGAACCCATAATGACTCCAGGCTTACTGCAATGACCTCTACTGTGTGGCTGTCCCTGAAGAGTCCTTGGAAACTTCAAAAATACCTTCCCTTCATACTGGGTATGTCTACACTGCAGTTAAACCCACAGCTGGCGTGTGTCAGCTGACTTGGGCTAGAGGGGCTCTGGTTGTGGGGCTGTAAAATTGTGGTGTAAACGTTTGGGCTCGGGCTGGAGCCCAAGCTCTGGGACCTCACGAGGCAGCAGGATCTGACAGCTCAGGCTTCAATCCAAGCCTGAATGTCTATACTGTAATTTTGCAACCCCATAGCCCAAGCCCCAAGTTAGCTGACACAGGCCAGGTGCAGGTGTTTAATTGCAATGTAGACATACCCTAAGCAGCCTGCAAAGTTACTGGATTCACCAGTGCTGCTGCTTATACCTGTGCTCCATAGACTGAGGCTAGGTCTACACTACCCGCCTGAATCGGCGGGTAGAAATCGACCTCTCGGGGATCGATTTATCGTGTCCCGTCAGGACGCGACAATTGATCCCCGAATCGACGCTCTTACTCCACCAGCGAAGGTGGGAGTAAGAGCCGTCGACGGGAAGCCGCGGAGGTCGATTTTGCCGCCGTCCTCACAGCGGGGTAAGTCGGCTGCGATACGTCGAATTCAGCTACGCTATTCGCGTAGCTGAATTTGCATATCTTAAATCGACCCCCCCCTGTAGTGAAGACGTAGCCTGAGCTAGTTTCCAGTTCAGTTTCAGGTGTTTGTTTTGACCTATGGTTTGGCTCCTTGGTTCTTTGAGACCACCTCTCTCCTCCTTTTCCTTCTCGTCATTTTGAGATCAGCCAGATGCTTGTGCCAACAGTTCAAGCTTTGTGTATCAGGTGGCTACCAGCAGGTAGCTCGAGCTAAGGCCCCTTTTATTCTGTTTCTGCCCCAGTGGAGCAAGAGTTTATTGATGTGCACAGCATGTTGCAAATGTTCATTCAGGCTTTTCCTAAAGGTGTGTTGGAACAGTCCTGATACTTTGATGGGGTGGGGATATGCGTAGGAAGGTCATTATCATTGTCCTATCAATGGAGATGGCTTATTTGGGGGCTAAATACTTAGATTTGTTTTACTGATTGGCACCACGTCAATGGGAAAAATTAAATGGCTTTTAGTCACTTTTCAGAGTAATAGCCACATATTTCAATATTGTAGTCTTGATGGTTTACAGTTCATGAGCAGATAAAATTATCCAGCTCTTTTTTTGGCCTTCAGTTTGAAGGAACCCATGTGAAATACTGTCAGGTTTGAAAGAGGTCACCACTTGGTCCAAAGAGACCATGCAGTAATGCACGAGAACCCTAAAAAAAATCCTCATTTCAGTTGGCGTGCTATTTGTTAGAGTGCATCCAAGCATTATGAAATGCCAAATGATGGTTCAATAAACCAAACTTATTGCCACAATTGGGAGTCCACACTGCTGCTTAGAAAAGTTTTCACATGCTGTTGTGGTTCAGAGCAGTTCACAGCCATACTCGTGATAGCTGAAGTGTTCAGAAATCATTCTATATGTGCTAGCTGGAGATAGTCTAAAGCACAATTAAAATAAAAATTCTCCCCGGAGAAGAAAATGTGCCTCTACTCCTGTTGGAAAACGATCTTCTTTGCAGTTTTCAAGCCCTTTTCTCACAGAACAAATTGTTTCAGAATGCATTTGTGTTTGGCATGGTCCAACTCCCAGCATGGATTAAGACTTAACTGTACAGAAAAGGGTCCAAACGAACGCTTCTGTACTTTTCTACAGTGTAGTTAGCTGTTTAACCCTGAATCAGATTTCTGAAAGTTGCTGTCCTGTTATAGTTGACCACCTTTCAAAGCAGAATTGACCCAGATCAAGTTTCTCCAGATCCTGTTCCCTAAAGTGTCTCAAAAATTGAGTTCTTCATATGCCTGAATACATTAAAATGTTTGAGGCCCTACATTATGGGTTGATCCTAGCTATGTTTAGCCTTACTACATTCCTGCTTTCCATCTTGGGTCATTTATGTAGAGGTCCATTGAAACACGAAAGAATTGCAAGAACTATCCGAACATTCCCAAGCTGTGCATTGTTACATGGACAATACTGTCAATAGCATCACTGTGTTAGCGCTACCTAAATTGGTGCCTTGCAGGCTGTCTGTCACTTAATCAGGATTGGCTTCTTTAGGAAAGTGTCGGTTCTCAGGACCACGACTGCAGTCTAGTAACTAAAAACAAATCCCTGTGTTTATTGCTTTATTGCCATAAGTCTATGATCAGACTAGGTTATGAAAGAACAAATGAGAAATATTTCATCAGTGTTTGACCTAGCAAGTCAGGGACTAAAATGAAGCGACTGGCATATTAATATCTGCTGCCAGGACCTTGTGTGTATTTGGAGTCAGACATCAAACATAATCAACTGAGATTTGGTGTTAACTTGCTTAGTTTTTTTTTACAAAATGCTGCACTAATTTTCAACTAGGAAAAAGGCAAAATTTGGAGTGTTGTGCAAGATTTGGGGTTCATAGCAGACATCAGTGTCAAATTCATGAATTGACAACTAGCAGTGATGACAGTACGGTTTAGCGAAGGGGGAATGTAAATCACCTTGGTATAAAACAATGTGCGTAGTGTGCGATGCTTTGCTTGGACTGGGTTTTTCTGTTGCTATGGAATTGCAGTTCAGACTAAGTGAAGAGATACGTCTACTTAATAGAGTCCTTCTCTGTATTAACATAGTTCTCTCCATATACCTCAGGTCCAGTGGATGAATATATGCTGCCTTTTGAAGAGGAGATAGGTCAGCATCCATCCCTTGAGGACCTGCAGGAAGTGGTGGTTCACAAAAAGATGCGGCCTGCTTTCAAGGATCACTGGCTGAAACACCCTGTATGTCCCATCTCGTTAACAGCTTAAAATGTTTCTTCTGATGACTGGAATTAGCAATGCAGTTGAGCATTAGATGTTAACTTCAAGCCAGTTACATCAGGGAAATTATCTTTTAACAGTGTGGCAGAACGGAACTGTCTTGAGGAATAAACTAAACTACATATGAACTTTATTTCTCTACTCTCCTGGTCCTAATTTTCAAAGGAGCTGAGAATCCACAACTCCATGGGAACTACAAGTGCTGAGCACCTCTAAAAACAGTCCCTATTGCCTTCTCTCTCCCTGACTTCTTCCTCCCCACCCCTTCATTGGTATGATGTAGAATATCACTGTAAGAAGAAAAATCCATTGCTAAAAATAATAGTATGCAGCTCTTAGATACCATTTTTCACTAGCAGAGCTCAAAGAACTTTACAAAGGAGATCAGTATCGTATCCCCATTTTACCAATGGGGAAACTGAGTGATTTGCCCAAGGGCAGTGGAAGCATTGGGAATTAAACCCAGGTCATGTGACACTTATGCAGTCCCCATTCTGTTGGATAGTTTGTCCTTTCTTTTATTGTGGTTTTAATCAACTGATTTGATTTTTTTTTTCTTTTTAAAGCGGTTTCACCCTTCACCAGCATAAGCAGAGATGGAATATTTTATAACTTTTTGTGCATTAATGTAGTGAAAAGGATTCCCAGCCCCCTGGCATTAGATTTTTTGAGGCTTAGTGCTTGTGAAATGGGCCAGTTTGACATCGGAAAATGAAGCCCTCTGTTTATCCATAGAACAGGCCCATGCACGTGCAGTGGCAGTGCAAGCTTCCTCCTCCTTCTGCAAGCCAACATGTCTCAACCCTGTTCAGGAGAGTATATCCGTCTCCAGGCCCATTCAGTCCTCATTCTCTCTGAAGAAATGCCAACAAAGGTGCTAATTGCAGTGATAAGTCTTTTGTGCTTTGGACACCTGTCCACTAATTGAACTGAGACCTCCAAGTCATTGCACACGAGCCAGTGAACTGTCAGATGAGTTACCTGTGCTGAATTTAAAATGATGGCCTAAAGGTAAAAGGCTCAGTCGCTGAGCTGTTCAGTCCCCGTGCACTAGCTAAGAAGCTAAATACATTGTTGCCATTGTCTCAAGTGGTTTAAATTCTGTTTCCCCAAAATCAGGTATCAGAGGGGTAGTCATGTTAGTCTGGATCTGTAAAAAGCGACGAAGAGTCCTGTGGCACCTTATAGACTAACAGACGTATTGGAGCATAAGCTTTCGTGGGTGAATACCCATTTTGTCAGATGCATGTAGTGGAAATTTCCAGAGGCAGGTATAAATATGCAGGCAAGAATCAGTCTAGAAATAACGAGGTTAGTTCAATCAGGGAGGATGAGGCCCTCTAAAGTTGAGGCTAGCCAACTACAAAAGCAACTCCTCCCTTGGTGTTCACACCTCAACTGCTAGCAGAGGGCCTCATCCTCCCTGATTAGAGATAACGAGGTTAGTTATGTATATATAGATATATATAAATACACACACACACACACACACACACACACACACACACACAATTATGCAGTTAGAATACATAACATAACAGTTTACCCATACAAAGGAAGCAGTATTTCTTTAGGAAGATAAGTTTTATGGTACTTGTAACAAAGTTGCCAACTCTTGTGCTATTATCTCAAGTCTTGCAGTATTTGCTGTTTGTTTTCTTTTTCTTAAAATTCCTGTTCCTGGAATGAAGTGATTAGTTGAGAATCTCTGCTTTGATTTAAAAAAAAAAAATTTTTAGCCTTTGTGTTTGTAGGAAAAAGCTTGATCCGAGTGTACCCTAAAGGCTCAGAACCCATAAGACAAAGAACTTACGTAAATTATTTAAAAAAAAAAAAACACAACTTTTTGTAAAGTAATCTTATAATATTTTGAGGCCTAACTCAGGATTTTTGAGAACCTAGTGTTGGCAATACTGACATAGGGACAATAGAAGGACTTGGAGTAAATCTACCTCACACTAGCCTGCTGCGCTCTAAGTGTCTATGTGGACACTGCTGCTGTGCATGAGGAGTTTCCTAGTGTGCTTTGATCGGCTCCCGCTTTAAAGCAGGGTAGCTCAAAGCACATTAAGGAAACTTTTAGTGTGCAGCAGCAGGGTCCACAGCAGACTAGTGAGGGGTAAATTTACACCCTGTCTTGCCACAAACTAACCGTTCTTGTAGACAAGCCCATAGGATTTTCTGTTAAAGAGCTGTGCCCAGATTCTCCTACATCTGCTGCTAGGCTGTGTGTGCTGCTCAACGTGCCACCCCCTGTCTTCCCCCTACAAACAAGATTTCAGCGAGAATCCATTTGCTAAATGTGTGTTTCCTCTTGACTCTACAGGGTTTGGCACAGCTCTGTGTTACGATTGAAGAATGCTGGGACCACGATGCAGAGGCTCGGCTTTCGGCAGGCTGTGTCGAGGAGCGCATTTCTCAGATCCGAAAATCAGTAAACGGCACTACCTCGGACTGCCTCGTTTCCATCGTGACGTCTGTCACCAACGTGGACTTGCCACCCAAAGAGTCTAGTATCTAAGTCCTGGTTCACTTTTGTCTTTCCAGACTCAGTGGATTTAAAAAAAGTTTAAAAACCCAACAAACACATGAATGCAGCTGCTATTTTATCTTGACTTTTTATTATTATTATTGTTGTTGTTGTTGTTTTTTTTGGATTGGATCAATTTTACCAGCACATTGCTCTACTGTATTAAAAAAAAAAAAAAAAAAAGACATCTCAGCAAGCATTCAGGTGCCGACTAATGAATGCAGAAAAGGTGCAGGTACCTCAGAACCTCAACAAACTCACTTCAGTTGTGTTTTTTTTTTTTTATTCAGTTTTCCGGGTTTCTCTTCATCGGTCTGTCTTCAACACAGAGCATCTCTGACATAAAGGAAAACCACGTACCATCTTAGAAAACGCAATGCTGCAAACTTTGGAGGAAACTTAAGACTGTTACATAAGATTACACCTTCCTCAAAAGGATTATTTTCCCCCTATTTTCTTTTTTTAGACAGTGAGCTTCAAAAAGAAACAAACAGCAGATGTGTCTTTTACGGATCTAACGGGTGTCATTGTAACGGGAAAAAACACAAGAAGCTGGGAAGAGAATGTTAACTCTTTGATGGTAAAATTAAAGGGGGGGTGTTTAGTATAGGAGAAGGGGAGAGTGATGTTGGACTTTGCAGCATTTGGAGAAACATCATTTGCTATGGAGCTACTTCTCAGGTAACCAGTTAATGAGGGGAAGAACTTTTTTGAGGCAGAGTATTTATCATCGCAGCATATCGAGAAAGTTGGGTCAATGAGCCAATGGGATAAGCAAGGTACTAGTTCTTACTTCCCCCAGTATCTCAGGCTTGGGTGTTAAAAGAACAAAACCAAACCATAGGTATATATATTTTTAAAACTCCAGGTAAGAATTGGAAAAAGATGTTTTTAAGCAGTGTAATTGAGAGAGATAACAGCGTATTCTCAGAAGCTGTCTGTAAAGTACTGGAAGATTTGAAAGCATTTATATCTTGCTTTAAATACAGTAGCAGTTCAGGGAATAAGGCCTCAGGGCTGGATAACTGCTTAGCCCAAGCTACCAGTGCAGATGATTTAAAAAGAAAAGTATGATTTCTGGCTTTGTAGAAAGGCCTTTTTTTAACTGGAGGGGAAAAAATTACCTGGGCCAGTGGCAGGCAGACGCACCCAAGAAGCATTTGAATTGTACAATTGCAAAATATAGGGAGGTAACAGAGCAGCATTAGCATTAACCATAGAATCTGTTAAACCAATTTCTTTGACTCAGCTTTCTCTTTATCTGTGACTAAACGCTTTTGTCTTAAAGTGGTGCATATTCTAAAATACCGTTACTCTAATATGCCATAAACTTGCTCTAGTCAGTGAATGTTCCTAATGCTGCTGATTCAACATTTAAATATTTTTTTAATTTGCAAAACATGCAATGTTTAAAAAACAAAACATATACACACACACACACACACACACACACACACACACACACACACAAAACACGTTACGTGGCTTCCGAGGTTTAAACTGAAAAAAAAAAATTAAAAAAACTTCATGACCACAGACCACCTCAAACCAGAAATACCTCAGAATTTTCTACTTGTATGAGTTTTATTATATATTTTGTTAGTTGTGTTGTCTTGTAGTAAGTCTATTTTAATGTAAGTTGGCTTTTATGACAAGGGAGTTTTAAAAAAAGAAAAAAAAGAAAAAAAGTTCCAAAATCTTTTAGGAAGTGCTACCATTTTTTGTTTTATAAAGCACCATTGTAAATAACTGTATACAGTTGTAGAATAACTGCCTATATAAGGTATCTGGGCATTATTCACTCTTGTTTGTGAAGCTGTTTCCATTTTGTGTTTGGTCTGTTTCAGTGAAAGGACAGTACATCTTTTTATTAAATAATTTTACTTTTTCTCAGAACATAACATCAATACAAAAATTAATGTCTTGCTAGACTGAAAGTTATCTTTCCTCCTTTGATTGCCAGAACTTTTAAACTTTTATTTGCTTTTATACCAAAATATAGCCCTAAACAAATGACCTTTTTATGATGTAAAAATATATATTATATAAACAAATTGGGATTTTTTTTGTCACTGACAAAATATCAACAGGGAATCTTGGTCTAGGTGTAAATTATTAAGCAAACAAAATTACCAACTGGAAAAAATAGATTAAAATTATTTTTCTCAAAAGCATGGCTTTAAAAACCTGGATAAAGTCCTTGATATTGGAGAGACAGTAAGGTAGTTGCCTTAACTTGTCTGTCTAAATAAAATCTTAAATACTTCTTTCAAGTTATTGAATGTATATTTGCATATTAATATGTGCACACATGTAAGTGTATTTGTGTATGTGGATGTTTTTGATTTTTAATATGATCCTGTTCAGAAAACCTGGACAAAAACACAGGCAAAGTAATAAAATTCTGGCCTAGTTGATGGTTAACATCTTTGGCCCCAATGCTACAAACGCCATAGTGTTTAAAGTGAACCATGCAAGTAGTTCTGTTGAAGTCAGTGGCAATATTCACATACTTGAAGTTAAGCATGTGCATAAGTGTTTGCAGGATTGGGGCCTTTCTTTTGCTCTGTGAATACATTTCTGCACTGAGATTTATATACATGTGGTTTAGTGTTTTGAAAAGGAGTGATATAAGCTTTGGGGTGGGATTCTAGATAAGACTTAAGATTGAATAAACTGTAGTTTTTTAGGTTTTTTCCTGAAATGGGATCCAGTCCAGATTGTTATGGAAAGTAAAAGCTGTACTGTCTTTTAACTATTATGATCTTTGTGCTGTTCTGGATTTTTTCCTTCAGAATTATGTGTTATGGATAAAACAGGCTTATTACAGCAGTTGCTTTAAAAAAAAAAACACGATTTATTTAAGAAGCTTTAAAGTATTTATTGAAAGTGCCATATGATTTTCAATAGGCTATTAGACATTCTTCCTCAACAGTCTCTTTTGAGGAAGAATAATCAAAAACTCTTTAACGTGTAGCTTATTTTACTTCAGAGAACTGTAAGGACATACCAACTTTGACCAAACACTGATTGTGAGATACTAGAATCTTCTCTGGCTCTACAGTTCCTTATAGATCATTGTCTGAACATAACTTAGTAACTGGTAAGAGGGAGTTTCTGCAGGGCATATATGTTCAGTTACAAATGTAAATGTGATTGTGGGCTGAATGTGTGTGTGCATGCATGTTAGTATGTCCGAGAAGGAAGTCCCGAGGTCTTGTCTACATACAAATTTGCCCCAGTTTGAACAAAGGTGTACACATTTAAGTTAAACTTGCAAGTTTTTCATGTAGATGCTTATGTTCTCATCAACTGCACAGGTTTCTAAATACCAGCGAGTAGTTTCATCACTGCTAATCCAGCATTTGAACGGTCATTTTACAGTATCCATTGGAATTTTGTTTAGTATTATAAAGACATTTCCTAAGATAGCAATAAGGCACCTCCACAGGTGTAGCAGTTATAAGCAATTGCAACCATTTCCCCTCAACACCTCTTTGAATATGATTGACCATTTATTCTCAGTTTTGAAGAGCTAGTAATCACTGCATTTACAAACTTTAAGGCAGCCTATTTAAAATATACTCTTTAAAATTTTCATTGCAGCATCTTATTGTATCCTGGGTGGCAATTGTCAATGGCAAAGTTCCCTTTGGCTTCAGAGGAGCCAGGATTTCATCAGCCTTTATCTTAACTCAGGTTCTGAATTTGTCACGTTGACTTAGTTAGTTATCTGGCTAACTAAAGTATGAGTTCACATTTTAAGCTGGGAAATTCTACAGGAGCTGAAATGGTCTATACAGGATAGATCTGCTAAAACAATGATAATATCAGTGTAGCAGGGCTGGAAATTAGTGGATTGCATGAATGTTTAAATAGATGTGCATATTATAAGGAAGGCTGTGAATTAGTCCTTGATAAGCAGCATTTAATTTATTCATGCTGAGTACAGATTTTATATTGCCCTCATCAGCAGGTAATCTCTAGCAACCTACCAAAGAAGTAATCTATTCAGTTTGTTGCCACCAACACAGCTGACTTGTTCTGTCATCCCTTACAAGTCTCTTATATGAGTGTCAGAATAGTATATTTTAGAAAGTGATTTTAAAATTGTTTTAACTTTCTAGCAGAAGCCAGTGACCATTTCCTATTATACTAAAAAAAAGACACAGAATATGAATAATTTGGGGGCTACAGTTGCAATAGAACTAAGCAGCCACCCACAAATCAGATCAAGATTTTGTAAAATTAATTAGGGCTGGTTTGTGAGTCCTTTCTTCATATTGCAGTCAGTGAGGTATAAGGGTACTACTCAGTGTGAGCTAGGGCATCACAATCTAGATCAGAATAAGAATTTTAAGACCCGCACTGTGGTCCTAGCACCTGTGTTCTTAGAGAGAGGCTTAAAATTCAATGAATCAATCACTTCCTAAAATTTTATAGAACCTTCTAAGTGATTACCATCTAAAACATAGAGTTCGTTGTTGTGTTACTGATACCACAGATTGTTGGCTAAGTATGAATGAAATTTTAATGTAAATGATTTTTTTAAATTAAACCCATCCTGGGTGAAAGTCAACTACTAATTCCTCCTGCAGTTTCGTTATGCTCTTGAACAGTTTATTTAAAAAATATAAACATGCTACCACTCACACCTTAAGTAAGCCCAATTCTCACTGTAGAAGTACTAAACAACTCCCTATATTAAATCATAGTAGTAATTTGCCACCCAATCCTGCTCTTTCTAGTCAGGCAAAACTCCCACTGAGGTCAGTGAGAGTGTTTGAGTGTAGGAGGTGGCCCTCACTGTATGTGTTATGTCTATGAATAAGAATTTTTAATGGTCAAGAGCATCTCTCCACATTTTGAGTTCCTGGAATCATTGGTTAATCTAAGATGCTTTAATTTCCAAAGATGAGTATAAAACCCACTTGCATTCAGAATTTTCCACAAGTCCCAAGTTGTGGTGTTGAGATAAGTGAAGGAGGATACAGACCAAAATTGGAAGGGTTTTTTTTGTTTTTTAAAAAGCCGTACAGGTTTGGACCTTTGTGTCTC